GTGCTTCCCCTTCAAAAGACAGAGGTGAATTTTATGAACTTTATTGTGCAGAGTCATCTGCATTTCTACAAAATTCAACAGGGACTGTCCAAACTGTCCTGTCCATGCCTGCATTCTGATTTCAGTTTTGAGTAGTTTGCTAAGTGTATTGGAATTCTTTGGTGGAAAAAGGTGATGGAAATTGCAAAATGTTCAAACACGTAACATACAGATATCAGAAAAAAACAGAGGAAAAAAGAAAAAGGAATTAGATAGATGCCATCAATTTTTCATTTTATTTTTTCAAAGTTGAAACCGTTTATAACGTTTGAAATGAAATAACAGTGACTTGGAACAATAGGAATAATACCTTTATTTGTAAAGGTAAAATGTAAGCCACCAAACTTCCTCAGCTGGAGTTATTGACCCTGAATACTCTTATTAATGTGAATCAGAAGGGGTCGAATGCTGCAGAAGTTCTACAGACTCATTTTGGGAAGTGCAGCCACTTTAGAAGTGAAAGTCGCTCTCTGGAAAGAGCAAATAATGAATTAAGGGAAACACATTTACAATAACACCCTAGAGTAAACATAGCCATTTTGCTTTAGTTTTTATCCAGGTGCCGTGCAACCTGTTTTCATTTATCTAAAACAATTCTTTGTGGACAAATCTGAGGGCACCTTCTTTCTACAGTCTTCAGCGACACCTGATGCACCCAGTTACTCCTGTAAATCTCTGTAGATATGTATGAGTTTATGTTCCTCTTGTATACTCTTTCTGAATATATCCTCCTCACAGCTCTGCATACTGATCTTCTCTCTTATGCCCTTTTTTCCATCAACGGACATAAAGCATTGTCCAAGCAATGGTTATAGGCACCTCCAGTTGTAGATGCTAAATCTAAATCTGCAAACTGAAAAAAACCTTAGTCAGGGACTGCACAGCAGTAAAAGAGTTTCGTAACCTGGTAGAGTTTGGAATTTCTGACTTTCCCCAGGCACTTAGAGTTGGGTCACTGCTTGCACAGAACTAAAACAGCTTTGGCAGGCTTGGGCATCTCACTACCTCGTTTACACCTACCCTCAACCAGGAGCCAAAGATTAGTCATAGATTCCTTAAATGAACACTGGCACCCTTTAGAATCAATAAAGAGGAGCAGGCACGTGTTAGTGCCTCTTTCTTTCTCATCCTAAAGTGAATGTTTAAGATAAATCAGATGACTCGCACCCTAAAAGAGCCTATTTCTCTCTATGAACACTCAAAAAAAGCATTAAGTTTGTATAAAAATCCCTACAATATAGAAATATAAAGTCAGGCAAAGTCAGGCCCTCACATTCCTCCAGGTTTGAAGGGCAACATCTATTAAGTATTCTCAGAGCAGCACACTTATCATACACTGGCAGGCTACTATTTTCTTTTAAAACATGTTATATAAAGTACTTTTTTTCTACTGTAACAGACTTGCTGTTAGCATACTTGCATAGAAAGCAAGAACTGACTGACTTGATTTTTACTATTGCTTGAACTATAAGTATACCAGTTTGTTCCCAGCTTGCTGTGTCTCCTCCATCTTGTCCAAAAGGGCATAAAAAAATTGTTATATTTATTAGAACTGTATATATAAATACATAAATACACACACACATCATATCCATCTTTTTTCTTCCTTTCTTCCTTCCCTTTTTTTTTCAGCTTGTCTTCTAATTTCTTGTACTTTGTATAAGAAAGCAGACACTTGACTCATTTTGGCCAGTATAATATCACCTGTCTGTCCACACTCCATCTTTGACTGTGTTACTAGTGTCCTACAGGCTTTATTCACCCTGAAATTGAGAAAAATTTGAATTAGTATTCCCTTAGCACTTTTTTTTCTCTTAGAATGGTGAGGTGGTTAGGATGTGTTTTGGAGACACTGGTTATACCTGGTGACTTCTTAGCACTCTCTTTACCCCTTCAATTTTTGGTATGTTTGAGTTCCTCAGAGTGCAGAGATTTTGAGCGTGTTCAGCCTTGTCCAGTGTGTCAGTGTTTTTAGACGCTACTGTCACAGGCATGATAAGTGTTACCGATAGCAGGCATATAAAATGTAGTCATTATTCTCCTAATTCAGGTACTGATTCATTTTTTCTTATTGATGATGTTTTTGCTTATTGGTACAGAAAGCTTTCATTTTGTTTTTTTTTTTCAAATGGTGTCAAAAATAGGATGGTAAATTTCCTGGTAGGGAAAAAATAATCCACTGTCAGTGGAGAAGACAGTGATTGTTTTTATGGATTCTGTAAGACGGTTGGGAATGAAGGGAAGTGGGGAGGTCAAGGAAAAAAGTAAAGGAACAGAGCCTTATATATATTTATTTGTATTTATTGGGAGCCTGATTAGAAGGTCAATAAGAGGCACAAGGACTGTAACTGCCATGGTCACCCCTATCCATTTATTTTCCTAGGTTTTAATCTTTGATCCAGCTGCTCCAAGCATCTGGCATAGTGAACTCTGTGACCCTGGGCTCTGATTCATGGGGAGTCGTTAGGGACGTGCATGCAGGAGCATGCTTTGCATCCAGTTTGGTAGCATCTGCGCAATGCTGTGTGCTGCTTGTGTGCATCTCCCTCATCTGCTATGGGCCACCCATCATCTTCCCAGTCAATTGAGTGTCTCAGTTGCCCAGTGAGAGGTGGCTGCTTTCTAATTCCCTCATCTTATACAATCCTTGGGGGAGGTGGAAAACTACCGTGACAACACAGCAAAGCAATGGCATCTCCCTTCCCTCTAGATCCCGCTGACATTTTTTTTATTTTAGGAACACCATACACAAGGATGTCATTTCTCCTTTGGTGTCACCTTTCCCCTTGTACAAACTTATCCCTCCTCTCCGCCTCCCAATCTATGCTTTCTTTACAGATGTTCATCTCTTCTTTTTATCTGTCTCCAGCTTCCTGACCTTTCAGAAGTTTCACAGCCCATGCCCTGGTTGATGAAAAAGGTAGTACTGGAGTGTGGGTATGGGGTCAGGAGGAAGAAGGAGCCACACACACGCACGCACGCACGCACCCACCCACCCACACATACACACTTACAGTGGTCTCTGCTCTTGGGACTGGCCTTGGCTTCAATTGTTGCAGCAGCCAGGAGAGCTGGGGAAGGATCTGAAGCAAGTGCTGGCTGACGGGCTCCCAGCTTCAGGCTGGGACTGAAGGAGAAGGTGGAGGAGAAAGAGGACAGGCTCCACACCTGGTAAGCAAATTTGGGATCTCTATCCTTCATGCTTTAGGATGAAAGGAGCTGTCAAGCTGATGAAAGAGAAACAACAGCAAAGGGATCACATGGGGTTAAGAATATGGCTGGGGCTGTAGCAAAGACTGTCCCTCTTCCTTTGCCGCCAAAGAACTTTACCAAAGGAATCCTGCGTAGGCAGATGTACAGGGGAGGACATGGCACAGTTTGGATGTGGCAAAGCAGTCACCCTGGGAGAGCCCGGATCAAGTGGCAGCCAGGATTTGGGTCACTTGGTAGTCATTTGGGGGGGAAAAAAAAAAGAAAAAAAAGATAATATTTTAAGCATCAACCCAGAGAGGGAGAAAACAGCAGGCAGTGCCAAGCTGCGGAGCAGCGGCAGAGAAAGTCTGTTAATTCTCGAAAATGGATGCACGAGCTAATCCTTCCCTGCAAATACAGCCTGGTAAATGGTCGGATCCAGCAGCCTTTTAAATGCCAGATCAGCTGTTACTTAAATGACATTTTGCTTTATTTATTTATTTATTTACTAAGAATAGCTTTGAATAAAGAGATGATCTCTGCCTGGCCACTGTGTGGAGATGGTTTTTTGTTATTGTTTGTTGTTGCTGCTATTGCAGTAGCAGCACTGCTGGAAGGTGTTGAGCTGGTCAGGGCTCAGACTACCTTAGGCCCCCTCCCACACATACCCACACACACACACCCTACACACTCGGAGCTGAAGTGCTCAACGCTGCGCCCGTGCTCCTGCCGCCCTGGGCAGCAGAGCGGTACAGTGCAATGCAGCCGGCAGGGTGAGGAGAGGAATTGCTGAGTGTGAATGAGTGCTGGGTGTGTAGGGCTAAGACTGTGAGAAGGAGGAGGAGAAAGGGAGTGGGGGGAGCTTTGGGAAGATGCAGAGATGCTGGAGGAGCCTAGACTGGCTCTGGTGGGAAGGGTTACTGGGAACAGCTGTACGTGTGCGGGCGGAGCAGGGGTAGCTGCAGCAGACACAGGTGATGAGGGGTTTGGGCATGGGCAGGGAAGCAGGAGAAGGTCCAGAGGATAGGAAGCTTGTGGACAGAAGGTAGGCAGCCAGGTAATGTGCCTGTGGGTCTGTAAAACTGATCTGGGATGCTGGATGCAGTGCTAGGAGGGCTGGCAGGGAACTGCTGAGGCTGAGGGTCCAGGGAGCCAGGATGGGCTGGTAGGGCCCCACGGGATGGAGCTGGGCAGGAAGGAGGGTGGCTGCAGGTGGCACCTGCCTCGAGGACAAGTGAGGGGGCTGGCACAGGCGGGTGGCAATCCGCGGGGGTCAGGGGCGGAGAGGCGCCTCCCGCCAGCAGGGTTGGCAGCTCGGGCTGCTCTTGGCCAGCACACTGCTTTTCGTCTCGGCGTGCCTGGTGCTATCGCCCTGCACTCAAGCAAATGGGGTGAGAGATGGAGAGG